GATCGACATTCAGCTCGTTGGACAAACCTTAAAGGAGAAGCAGGACACAGCTCGATGGAGGGAGAGTTACTTCAGACCGGCACAGACATTGCTTATCGCAACAGCATCTCCCCAGGTGTCATTTATACCCATGATTATTCTGACAAATTACTAACCAGGCGGTGTAGGCGTGGCCAACCCGCCGGTTACATACGGTATTAGTGCTTCATTCATTAATGAAGAACCTGTCATCCAGGGATGGATTACTGATCAGGCCTCTAGGAAGAAACGTGACCGCCCCCTGCTGGTGTGACAGAGCTCAGGGACAGCAATGACGAAGACGTTCCATCCTTAGAGCTTCCTTTCATTATAGTCCACTGAAAACTGGTCCTCCCCCGTCACAGTCCTAACTCAGTGACATGTGAACACAGACTGAAATAGGTATGTTGATCAGATTCAGCATGACGTCCACTTCCTGAGGATATCTCTGATGCCCCTACAGAATAAACCTCAATAAACCCACTCAGAAATCAAGAAAGATAAAAATGTCTGTTTTCAACAAAAGGCTCCACAGACTGAGAACAGCCATCACTTTGTACAGCGTCTGCGGTGAAACAGTCGCTGGTCGGTGCTGTTGTCTCACTGCTTCACCTGCTCCTCACACCGCACAGAACAACACGTTGGAGCCAGGAAAGTGTTGGAAAAAGGCAGCCTCATGTTTCCTGAGGAGGAAACCTGCCCCCAGTGCAGTGGTGTGGCTCACTGGGGAGTTTAACAGCTGGTGGACAACGGCCCAGAGCGATGAGCTGGACCAGGGTCTGGACTCACACACATTACAGTGAGGACACCACATTTACTGGTGCTGCTGGTCTCTGGACGGGGTTGGTGGGGAATGACAGAGGAAAATATTCGGCTGCAGCCGTTACAGATAAACTGAGCCTCAGAGACCCAGTGTGTACGCTGTGTGCGTTAATACTCTGAACAAACTGAACCAGAAACTTCTGAGCAGGAGGTGAACAGCAGTTTTATGAGAATTATGTGTTGTCCACACTCATTTAAACATTTAGAGGGGAAAAATTATTTAAATACAAGTCTTTTAAACATGCGGTTGGCAGGAGAGTTAGTGTTTAATGTCACAGAACAGGTTCATCGACAAGTTTACAACATGGTCTCCATTATGTGAGGATTCACATGGTCCAGTCTCTTCTGGAAACTGACTGAACTCACTGCGTTATTTACAACATGACATCAGAGAAGAAGCAAAAACTCAAATGGACTCAGACCAGACACAAACTCACAGTTCATAAGAGGACGTCATGAAAAGAGTGAGAGCCACGGAGGAAAAGGGTTTAAATCCAGACATGAACAGACCTGTTTCAGACCCTTTGTTCATAAACCAATGGTTTATTTTAATTCACTACACTAATGCTGCTTCATCAGGAACAAATCATGAATAAGGTGAAGCTTCATCTGACGTTCAGCAGAAAACAAAGATCAAGTAAAAGGAATAACTGTTAGTTTCTATATGAAACAAGTAAAATGAAATAAAGGCATGAGCTCCACCTTCATCGCTGAGACGTGTTAAAGAAAATAAGGGAAACAGCTTCACACGTCTCCACTGCTCATTAGCTACACTTTGTCTTCTCTTCCTGCTCCACCAGATGCACCTGTGAGTGGTACCTGTCGGTGTTACCCGTCTGTCACAATCTGTCTCCAGCTTAAACGTCCTCAGACCTGCACCAGGTCTCAGTGTTTGGTTCTGCAGAAAGGGGGGCACTGTGAGGAGGGCCAAGCCTGTTTTGTGAAGTCTGGTTTCTAGCAGCAGCAGAAGCATCTGTGGTGGATGGAGTCTTGGGTGACCATGCCTCCAGGTGGCGCTCTGAGGTTCAGACCCAACAGCGTGGTCTTTAGGCAAACTTCTTCTTCGTGGCCGTGAAACGCTCCATGTACTGAGGAGGGAAGACCAGTGATCATCAGAGACAATCAGAGACCAGTGGAGACCAGCAGAAACATCAGAGCTGAGTCCAACAAAGACAGAAAAGGACCCATCAAAACTGATCTGACCTGAAATCAAAGTGTCTTAATGTAAATGAATCTGGAGCTTAAATAGGACACTAAAACAAAACGTCGACCTAAGACAAAATGCAGGTCCTGTTCATCATCACCATCGTGACGGTCTATTCACTATTTGCCCTGGCACGAGTTTCTGGATGTTGCTGTTATTCATATTCACCGTGTCCTCTAATGCGACTGTCGCTACTCAACACTGTGTTCTGTGTGCGACAGCATGTCGTGCAGCTGCTGCTTACCCTTACAAGATGAAAATGTATGTATGTATTCCCTGCCTCTAACAAACATGTTGAATGCTCATAAGGGAGAAGGGGTGAGCTCCTCCTGCACGGAACTACATCTGTGTGCACCATGTCTGCTCTATTCTCCAGAACGTCGGCAGGGCAAAAGGTAAGCCTTTTTTTTAGAAAACATGTCAAATGTTATTTCCATATTTATAAAACATTTGCAAAGACAATGTCTCGGCCTTCTTCTTTGTCTGTAGCGTGTTTCCTGCACATATAGATCAGTGGAATCTGTGATGTGACTAGATACAAACAAAGCAGAGACCTGCACAGAGCTACTGAACACTCCACAGCTTTTCTACCACACACATGCAGACCCAACACCTGCAGGAAACATTTGGGTGTCTTTACCATAAAACTGCTTTTTCATACAGTCTGACAACCTTCATCACTCAGAGTAGCCTCAGCCAGGATTATAACAACAGATACTGATTAGTGCTGTGCTCTCCACTGTGAAAATTACAGCCAGACAGTTATATAACCTCCCACGATCCCTGAACGCCATATGCCAGGTGATCTCACCTTGTCATACCCGTCCAGGTCTCTGAGCCTCTTCACCTCAAACAGGTTTCCCTCCACAGAGAACAAACACACCTGGGACTCGCTCAGGATGGACTGAGGGATGGAGGACAGTTCCAGGCAGTTCTCCTCCAGACGCAGGACCTTCAGACGTGGACACCGAGACACCTCCACTGCTAACACTGAGATCTGGACCAGGAGGAAGAACAAGACTGTCAGAGTCGCCTGAGACCTGGATCATATGTCTTACTGTGAAGGGCCTTATTCTGAGGCTCTGTTTGTGGTTTGAGTTCTCTCATATGCAGGATGCTGTCTGAGATGATCTGGTCTGGCCTGGCCTGTGACACCTGGTTCTGAGATACCTGGTTTTGGTTGAGGTTGATCTCGATGGCCTGCAGCTCAGACACCTCTGTAGGGATACTCTGGATCTGGTTACGGGACAGGTCCAGCAGGTCCAGCTGCTTCAGGCTCCCCAGTCCCAAAGGGAACTCTGAGATCTGGTTCCCAGCCAGGCTGAGGGTCCGCAGGGCTTTGAGCTGGCCCAGAGTCAGGGGCAGATGCTGGATCCGGTTCCCATTGAGACTAAGAGTCTCAAGCTTCTTCAGCTTTCCAATCTCACTGGGTAAATTGGCTGAGGACAGAAGGCCACATGATCACGTGTTCTCGAGGTTCTAACCTGATGGTTCTAAGCAGAGGCGTTTCTGGGATTCATAGTGATCTGGACCTGCCCTCCAGGCTTTTTTAAATGTTTGTTCTGTATTGTTAAATTATGCTGATAAGGTCAAAGTGATTAGATACAGTCTTATGCAAAAGTTTAGGCACCCCTTGATAAATAACAGATTTTGGTGATTTTTTATTTGAACAGATGTTAACCCAGTCTCTCTTGGAAATGGAAAAAAATGCACAATATTTTCAGCAAACAGTGATGCATAGTTACTTCTTATGCCATAAATTGAACAAAAATAAAAAATAAAAACATTATTATGGCATGGTGCAAAAGTTTGGGCACCCTACACAATCAGTACTTAGTAACACCTCCTCTGGCAGATATCACAGCTTGCAAACACTTTTCATAGCCAGCTAAAAGTCTTTCAATTCTTGTACTTGGGATCTTCTCCCATTCTTCCTTGCAAAAGGCTTCTAGTTCTGTAATATTCTGTGGTCGTCTTGCATGCACAGCTCTTTTAAGATCTACCCACAAATTTCCAATGATGTTTAAATCAGGGGACTGTGATGGCCATTCCAAAACCTTCAGCCTGCGTCTCTTGAGGTATTCCATAGTGGATTTCGAGGTATGTTTAGGATCATTGTCCTGTTGTAGAAGCCATCCTCTTTTCAGCTTCAGCTTTTTTACAGATGGTGTGATGTTTGCTTCCAGAATTTGCTGGTATTTAGTGGAATCCATTCTTCCCTCCACCCGTGCAATGTTTCCTGTGCCACTGGCTGCAACACAACCCCAGAGCATGATAGATCCACCCCCATGCTTAATAGTTGGCAAGGTGTTCTTTTCATGAAATGCTGCTCCTTTTTTTCTCCAAACATGCCTTTGCTGATTGTGTCCAAAGAGTTCTATTTTAACTGCATCAGGCCACAGCACTTGTTTCCAAAACGCATCGGGCTTCTGTAGATGTCCTGTTGCATACTTCAGACGTTGGATTATATGATGGGGACGCAGGTAAGGTTTTCTTCTGCTGACTCTTCCATGAAGGCCTTGTCTGTGCAAGCATCGCTGCACAGTGGAACGGTGCACCACCACTCCTGAGTCTGCTAAATCTTCCTGCAGGTTTTTTGCAGTCAAATGGGGGTTTTGATTTGTCTTTCTGACCAGCATACGAGCAGTTCTGTCCGAGAGTTTTCTTGGTCTTCCAGATCTCATCTTGACCTCCACAGTTCCCCTGATCTGCCATCTCTTAATTACATTTCTTACTGTGGAAACTGCAAGCTGACAACGCTTTGCTATCTTCTTGTAGCCTTCTCCTGCATTGTGGGCATCAATAACTTTCATTTTCAGGGTCTTACACAGCTGCTTAGAGGAACCCATGGTTGCTGGGTGTCCGCAAGTGTGTGCACAAGGTTTGAAGAGTCAAAGTATTTGTACAGCTTTGAAATTGGCATTTACCAATGACAGCTGTTGCTGTGCATCAGATCTAACGAGCTGATTAAGGTCTGAAACCTTGTGAGAGACTTTGAGACTCTGGAACTCTTAGGGTGCCCAAACTTTTGCACCATGCCATAATAATGTTTTTATTTTTTATTTTTGTTCAATTTATGGCATAAGAAGTAACTATGCATCACTGTTTGCAGAAAATATTGTGCATTTTTTCCATTTCCAAGAGAAACTGTGTTAACATCTGTTCAAATAAAAAATCACCAAAATCTGTTATTTATCAAGGGGCGCCTAAACTTTTGCATGAGACTGTACAGTCAGTGCTCGTTTCCATCGCATTTTAATAATGTGAAAAATACTTTTACTGTCAGTAACCATCAGGATCTTGTATATAGGGAAGTGAATCTCTCCTGACTAACAAGAAGAAGAAGCTTTATTTATTGTCATTGTGACATGTACAGAATTATATGTGTGTATATATATATATATATATATATATATATGTTGTAGTTGTTAAGTTTGTACAAGTCAGATGTTGCACAGATTTTGATTGTGCCTGTTGTGTTTCTTAGATGTAACAACAGGATCATATTTTTAGACCAGCACTAAAGTCAGCCAAATAGTCAAGGTGCATTGTTTGAGATAATACAAAATCCAAACGTGTTTACAAGAAATATATAATATCATTATGGAAAACCCAGATGGAACCGTTTTATTTAGGACAGTTATTTTTTCCTCTCAGGTAAATAACTCAATTGAGCTGCATTTTTTGCTGCCATGTGAGTTTTCCTTTATTGTTTTTTATCACATGTACACTGACAGTTTGATCATTTTTCACACAGTATTTTGAACTACTTTTTTCTAAGTAACTTTAGTTTACCAAATTACATTTCTCTCTAGAGTAGCATTGCTGTAGTTTATCTTCTTCCAGCCACATTGTCAAAGTTGTTTCCCCAACAGTGGTCCTCTGCCTCGCCCTGCCATGTCTGACTATCTCCCTCTTAACACATCAGCATCCGTTTCATCTTCTATTCTATCTGGAAACACTGGAGGCAGCGGCAGGAAACGCTCGCTTTCTCAAAGCACCTTTACTGCTCGCAGGTGTTTGTCAAGTGTTTCTCTTGCTGCTCCTTCCTATGACCCAGCTGAAGTTTTGGGAGAGCGCATATACACCAGAACCATATCTGCTGATGCACTCTCAGCTGTCAAAACCAGACTGAACCTCTTTAACACGTTAGTTACTGGCTCGCCTCAACACTGCTTCATAAACAGTGACTGGAGCATTTAACACACAGCCAACAGCTATAACTTGTGCTGCTTCTTAATGTGAAGGATTTTACAGAACATTATATTAGTGTTTGAACTCATGTGAGATTCAGTCCACAAGCAGAGACTAAACTCTATCATGGATTGAACTCTGCACACATCCACCCTGTCTACTGCCAAAACCAACAGCATATCACAGGGCAGCGTGCGAGTCACTCACTAAGTCTGTTGGAGTTGAGCGTCAGACTCTTGAGCTGCAGGAAGTTTCCGATGGCAGCAGGAAGAACCTCGATTTTGTTCCCGGACAGATCCACTGTCCTTAGGTTACTGGTAAGTCTCTGTAGTTCATCTGGAAACTGAAACGACACCACAAACACCAGGAAACACCACAGACTGACCTCTATTGCTCATTCTGAACCTCTAATCCTTAAACCCACCACCACCCTGGACTGTACAACTACCCCTGAATCTTTGACTAACCCGTTTTTGATGAAAGCAGCACATGATTCTGTCTAGAACAGTGTCACAGTGCACATCTCTACAATATTTAACTATAAACACAATTATTCCATGAGATGAACTGGTGTGTCTCACCTCCTGCAGTCCTTTTCCTGTCAGCTGAAACACGCCAGTCTTCTGGGAGGTTTCCAGGTGAGACTTTAGAGCACTGTTCCCCATCTGGACCTGCAGCCAGCTACACGTCTACCTGTCCACCTGTCTGTCTGACTCCACCTGGTGTTAACTGAAGTCTTACTGAGTAAAATCACAGGAGGTGTTCCTCACTATCCACCTACAGCGGTGAAGCTGGTGTCAGGGTTCACGTCCAGAACAGGGTTCATGTGTTCGGTATCAGTCGGGATCGGCTGACAGATTTACCAGCGCTCCTCGGTGTTAAATAGCTCAGTCGACGAACTTTGCAGGAGAAGGCCAGGGTCAGCAACTAGCAGCATGCTGACAGAGTTATCCATTAGCAACTTTAGCTCATTATTTACCAGTCATATCAGATAAAGTGAGCGTATTTACAACACTGCAGGGTTGTGTAACCGGCTGGCAAAAACTACATCAGCACATAATACACATTAACACAGATTTAAAAAGAGTAAAGCTCAGTGGAAAACACACTAAAACAGAGTAACATAGCTGTCGTGTTTACGGATGTGAGCCCACTCTAAAGCTAATACTACATTAGCATAGCCCCGTTAGCCTGTTAAACGATGTAAACAGCTTATCAAACAGGACACGGGACGGTTTTACTCACTTCGAGGTGATCGTTAAAATGTCGCCGTTCATCCAAATCTTTTCAATCCTGTCTGAGAAGCGTACAGATATAAATAAAACTTGAAAAAAAGTGCATACACCCTCATTCACTGAAGCCTGATCTGCTCTAGCACTCTGTGTAAGCCAATGAGAACAGCGCAGGGAGAAACGTCACTTTGTTGGGCATACGCACTATTCTGCTGTCGTCTTCTTCTTCTTCTTCTTCCTATGATATTTATTGGCGGTTTGCAAGCCAACTTAAGGTGCATTACTGCCACCTGCTGGGCTGAAACTATTCCGTTGTCGATACCTGATCTCCTTAATGAAGCCACAGCACACACTTAGCAGCAGCTGTACTAGGAATGACTGGCGCTGGAATGGTTGTACTCCCTCTCTCTCTTTTTTCTTAACTTTTTTTTTGCCAATTACTTTAAGTCCCTGAAATATATCGTTAAATTGAACAAAACAGCCAAGAAACTAAGGACGTCTATTTCCAAGTCACTTCTTTTTTAATGCCCTGAATGCTACTCATTTGTGCTTGTTCTTTTCTTTTATTTCATACTTTATTTTATTTTATATATATATATACAAATAAACTTATATATTATTGATTATTGCAGAGGTTAACTTCTCTTCCCCATTTGTGCTTGTTGTTGACTTGTATTCGATTCCCTATTCTTGTATATTCTTATGTTCTCCTTTATCTTGTTTGTATATCAGTCATTGAAAATAAATTTTGATTATTAAAAAAAGAAAGGAATGAGTGGCGCCATCTTGGAAAATATTTTATAACCACCTCAGAAATATACTCCTCACCTCCTTCTTCTCCTTCTTTGAGATTAATTTTTTTAATTAGGATTAGATAAAATACATCAATCACAATAGTTTTAAATTGTACAATTGTACAAATGTTAGAACACAAAAAGAGAGAAGTAAAGAAAAAAGGGGAAAACAGGCTTTTTACAAATCATTGGTTTGACTTATTAAACCCATTCTACTGCATAACTGTTAGTAGCAGCAAACCAAGGAGGTTACAGTACAGTAGGGTAGGAAGATGCCCCCCTTAAGAACACTGTTTACTGGAAAACTGCAAGATATTTTGATATGAATTCAGCATGTACAACATGGTCACACATAAACAAACCCAGTTTAAGGAGTATTATAATGGTAAAGTATTAAATGTTGTCTTAATACAAGTTTTTTTTACACTCTTGCAAAGGAGATGCCCTTAAAAATACCTAATGACCAGTGTTTGTTTCAACAGTTTAAGTTTCTCATTTTACTGGGTTCATTTCACTCTATGGCACTGAATACTTGACAGTTTATCTCACTGACATTAAAACTATAAAATTACAAACCACAGAATAGCAAAATATGTGAGTGGCAGGCAAAATAACAGAAACACCCTTCAGTAATACTGAGACAAAGCTCTGCCATTACTGTGTTTTGTGCACTGTCATGTAAAAACATTTAATGTTCAAAAACAAACTTTCCTTTAAACCAGAAAACAAAATCCACCAATGAGGTGAAAGAATTCCTCGTGTCTCTGGGTGAGTTCTGCATCACTAACAAAAACTTGACAAACAAAGTTGATTGTAAAATATTTTCTTTTGTTTTCAGAAAATCAGATTTAAGTTGAAAATATAAAAACACTTTAATTTGAGAAATAAATGTTAATATTTTTCTGAAAAGTTTTAGTCATTTTGGAGACAATGTTTTTACTGACCAGTCACAACTGTGCTCCCTCATGTTGCTGTCTTCTCATTGGCTGTTGCAAAGGAATCCTTGCCATCTGTAGTGTTCATTGCCATCTTCCTCACAGCACGCTTTTTTGACCGCCTCCTCAGGCAGCACGTCACCATAACAACTATGACCAGCACCACCAGCACCGCCACAGCAATCAGCACCGGCACCAGGACGCCTGACAGCAAGCTGCTGTCTTCGACTGTCACTGAATCAGCACATGCCGACGAGCCCTCCTCGTGGTGTTTCCCATTTTCGTCTAAGCAGATGCACCTGTAGGAGCCCTCGGTGTTCAGACAGGTATGCCTGCAGAGGGTGCTACCACCTGCAGCACTGCACTCATTGATGTCCACACAGTTTGCAGAAGCATCTTTCTGGAAGCCGTTGTTACAGGGGTGGCAGATGGTGGTGAGGTTGGCAGGAGAGTCATCCAGCAGACGCCACACGGCAGGGCGACCCCAGCAGTGCAGCTCCAGCCTGACTGAGGACCAGCAGTCCACCTGGATCCTGGTGCTGTTGTAAGGGTCCAGACTGAGGGAGCGAGCCCCAATGATACGGGGGCGTAGACACAAACCTGATCCCAGCGCTGGTCCAGAGCCAGGGCTAGCATCAGGTCTCAGGAGCTCAGGTCCAGTTTCTTGTTCTGGTCCTTGTGTAGAAAATGTGGATTCAGGCATAGCAGGCTCTGGTTTTGGTGTTGCCAGTCTTGTTTTAGGTGCAGCAGGTGTAATATTGGCCTCTGTGCCCCCAGGTGTCTGTCCCGTCAGTCCATCTCTCAGCTTGCAGATGAACTTGTATTCATACTTACAGCTAACAGGAATTAGACCCCACTTGGTCACCGTCAACCCATCAGACACTCCCATTAGTGCAGCACAGCGAACATTCGTGCAGGTCTTCTGCGGCTCCTCTGCCCAGTTGACCTGCTGTGAGGCGTCGCTGCCGTCCTCTGTCCACTTGAACCCTCTCAGCGGCAGCGTGGAGACAACGCACATGTTCTTGGGTTTCTTCAGCCCAACCCAGAAGGTGACATTGCTCCCAGATGACACCACCTCGGACACAAGCTTGAGGACGTGATCGTATTCCTGCACAGTGGCGAGGGTGGTGAGGACACCCGGGGAACAGTCCTTTGTGGCCTGGTCAAAGTTGACCTGGGCGTCGTGGACAGTGTATTGTGGTGGGGAGGCCGGATGAAGCAGTGTCCAGATGCCATCTTGTCTGACTCCTCTCCCTCTGGTGATGATGTCACTGTTGAAACAGAAATGATGGCAAAAAAGTCGTTTCAGGTTGAACATCAAAGTGTAAAACAGTTCATCTGACCCAGAAAAGGAAAAGCAGCTGTCAGATCAATGTGTGGTGCAGCAGAACATACTCAAGTACAAAAACCTCAGAAGTGTACTTAGGTTCAGGACTTGAGTAAATATGTTTAGTTACTTTGCAGCACTGGTATTAACCTGTTATCAGACAAAAGTACTGAACCCAAAATAAAAACGATACTGTTCTTGGTCTCTGTCAGTCACAAACAGAAGAAACGTAGCCTGCAGCTCAGCTGCACTTTGCAGTGACCGTGGAGATTGTAGCTCCTGGACTTGTCTCACTTACAGCAGACAAAGTGCATTTGACCCTCCTCTGTTTTGGATTTCACATGACCTGAAGCAGATCAGAGCAGCTCTGATGCTTCAGCACCAGGACACTGAGGGTGTGTCAGGAGAATTTATGAGAACTACCTGAGCATATGGAACAGAGCTGCTGTTAAAGTTTGAGGAAAGTGCTGCAGAGAGTGAGAGAGCAAGAAAGCATTCTAACAAGGAGATAAGGAAGCATCCTAAACAGAGACTCCTCTTAGGATCTCTCATGGGTTTTATTCATCCTCGTTTGTGTAAAAATGACAGAAATCTGAATTTATCTTACCGTGTCCAACCGACTCGTCAGAAAATCGATCTATGAAAATTCTCCTTTATCTACCTTCGCTTCTTTTCTCCTTCTTTTTTACTGTTTCACTGTGCCCACTTGTTTTCTTGTCCCTTCCCTATTCCTTCTCCTGACGTTTTCCCAACTTGTCCTTGTTCCTCCTCCAGGTTTTCCTTCTGTTCTCCACAGTCCCTCCACTTGATTCTGTATTGTGCTGTCCAAGTTTCTTCTCCTTTCTGCTGGTTTCCTCCACAGTAGCTCTGGTGACAGACTGACTGCCGGCCTCACCCCTCATTCTCTGCATCACCCCCTCCCCCAGGACAGGAAGTGTGTTGCATCTTGATACGGTGAGCTGGTTTCCTCCAGATAAAAACCACTGCTGTGACTTGCTCTTAGGGAACATTTGATATTGTGAAACCTCTGAGATCACGTTCGTAGTAAACCTCATTCTGAATTTCAGCGTTTTCAAATTGAGATGATGTAAACAGCAAACTGAAGTACAAGTGCGGATGCAGAGTACAGATAAAATCCAATATATATTATCAACATGCACTCAGCATGAAAAAAGTAAAACTGTTACAAAGTGAGATAAAGACAAACTCAAAATACTGAAATTTCATTTGAAAAAAGAGAAAAACCAAGATTTCTAAGAGTTTTCATGTGTTTTTGAATTACTGAATGGAATTTGGTTTAATTAAGCTAGAGAAATAAATTTAATTGACAAAGTTCACTATTAAATGTATTCACTTCCTTTATTTTCAGGGACACTTGAAAAGCTTCCCCAGGTCACTGATGAGGTTCTCAGGAACTTGAGACTTGCCCTTTAGCTTGGGACTTTGCAGCTTCTGTTAGTTCAAAATGTAGCTGCTCGTCTTCTGATGGGTACTCGTCAACCTGACTATACAACACCTATCCTTTCTTTTCAGTGGCTCCCAGTTGAGGAAAGGACTGTTTTAAAATTACTGCTCTTTTTAAAGCTTTGCATAACCTTGCTCCACCTTACATCTCAGAGCATTTATATATCTAGACCCCAGCTAGATCCCTTAGGCTGGTCAATCAGCGCTTGTGGACTGTACCTAGATCTAGATTAAAACACTTGGGTGATTGAGCCTTTGCATTCTGTAGCTTGTTGAAAACGTATTTATTCACACAGGCTTTTGGTTCCAGTGTATTCTGAGGTGTGTTGATTTCTTTTTGATGGTTTATTTTATTTTCTTGTTTGTATGTTTTTGTGCAGCACTTTGTAACAGTTTGTTTAGAAAAGAATAATATAAATAAAATTAACTTTGGCCGCTTTGCTGTCAGATCATCCAAGTGATTTGGTTGGTGACTGATGAAGTTTGAAGGTTCCTTGTGAAGGTCTGGAGTTTCCTGATGAAAACCAAATGGTCCCGTTTCCTGGAATCCTTGAAGCAGCATCTGGGGGCCTTGGGGTTATATGGTTCCTTGAAGACATTCCCAGGGATACATAAATATGTTAACCTGGCCCCTGAGCTTCACTTGAACATCCCAGAGGCCCTTAGAGAGTCACTTTGCAGATTTTCAGAGGTCATAAAAATTATAGAACAGGTTGCACGTCTTAAGTCTCTCCATGCTTTCTGTAAAAAAAAAAAAAAAACTGGCATTCTTACAAAACGATGCATTTTTCATAACCACACTGTGCACAAATGTCCTCAGAGTGAAAAACTGTCCTCACTTCCACAGTGTGAAACTCGACCTAGTCCACACAAAGACAAACACACATACATACATTGTGTTTAAACAGTAGAAATTTCACACTCACACAGGACGGTGATTGTTGTCACGGTGATCCAAATGCTTCCTGCAGGAAGTGTGAGAAGAATGGCAGGAAGCTGAAGGTTGTGGAGGGTGGAGCTATGACTAATTGACTGCGGTTGTCATAGTAATACTGTGATGGCTAACCTGACTGCATCTGTATGTGTGTTCATCCACTTCAGATTAAAAGCTCAGAGGCTCTTATTCTGGAAGTATCTGTGGACCCCCTGCTTGGTTCTGATTGGTTAATAACACTAGTAGAACGGTAAAGGTCACACTATCAGTATTACTAGTATGATGAGCAGTATCAGTAATAAAATAAGTTATTAAAGAAGTGATACAAGCACTACTATCAGTTCAAGTAATACTACTAATACACAGAAAACCCAACTAGTACTGAAATTAATTTTATACATGATAATACCAGTGCTCCCAGCTAAGATGCTGGAGTGTGATCTCCAGTAAAAGCATTACTAGTAATACTAAGAGAAAATGGTGAGGAGTCAGAGAGGAGGGTAGCGGGCAGATGACAGTAGTACAGCGTCAGTAGACATAGTAGATTACAGACCAGATGAAACCGGACTGGACTTTTCTTCTTCAGAAAAAGAAAAAAACACCGTGAAGATCATCAGTGCGCGTTCATAAGAACGGGGTAACGGCGTCTGACTGTGGGAGAGAGGCACAGAAACACGGTGAACGTCTCCACAGCAGAGTTTTATTAGAAACTTTACACAAACTGAAGTCATCTCCGCAGGACATTTAGTGTTCGAGAGCTTTGAAGAAAAACTTAAACAGATCCCAGACACAGCAGATAAAGTACATGGGCAAGCTTCACACTGTAAATGCAGAATTAGAACTTAAGAACAAACATCACTGAGGTCAGAAAATCAACAGCACCTGTGAGGAAACCTCCAGCATCATGTTTCTGACAGTGATTATCACAGGTTTTCACCAGTCCTGTCCTGATGAAGACAAGCTCAGACTGCTGGGTTTAGTCTTCCATCACACAGTTGATGTTCTGACTGCAGTCGCTTGGCAGAGGCGTTCTGATAACACATCAGTGGCAGAGAGGAGACAAAACGAGTCAGTGACAGACTGAAAATGTTTGTCTGACACACGCTGGTGACAAACAGGAACACACCTGAGCTCTGAACCTGTTCAAGGGCCAAACCAGCGCGTTCACACAGTTTTTACCTCTTTAACAGCAAACTACGTTAGAAAACTCATTTTCCAACGCCTGCTTTTTCATTCATTTATTTTCTATCAGGAAACTAATAAGTCATATTACTTCTGCAGCAAAATGTCTGCAGTGTTTTGTCTCAGGATATTTAACAATTTTAATGTCAAAGTTTTACAATCGTTTAGAAATTAAACCAAAGCAAATGACGCCTGAAACAGCAGGAAAAAAAAGTGTGGCTTGAGATGCAACGTTATTCTGCAACATTCTGATTTTGTTCATTTGCACCAATCAAAATAATTCTAATAGCCACCACTTCCTGCTGCTGTTTCACATTAAATTCCTCACATAGACAAACCACTTACTATGAAGCATCCACAGGATGTTCTATAGCCTCACTGTTGTCAGGTCCAAGACTAAATGAAAAGGAAGTAATGACAATAATGCTGAGTGAGAACCCGCTGGTCTGGTCCTTACGTGGCTCAGCCCACACTCTTCACCTTTTATTTGAACTCTTCTAACAGGTCTGAAAACATACAAATACCCAGAAACACACACATCAGGAATAAAAGTATTTGCAGCACTTAGTCTGCACACAGAGCTTAAAGCGCGAGTCACTGTTGGCTGCGGCTGTGCAGCAGGCTGTGGTGGCTTGTTAGTTGCTTGGTTGGTTGAATGGTTGTTGTGGGAACTCAGGCAGCGAATGCAAAGTAAACCAATAAACATAATGCAGGCAGGTGAGCTGAAGGCAGGCAAGGTCAGGCGGCGCTGGAGACGGCGAGTTTCTTCAGGTGATCCATGAACACCTGGAGACTGACGTCGTCGGTCAGGATGGGAGCCCCAGACTCCTGCAGAGAGCACAGTTCATCAAAACTGGGACAGGTGCCCAGGGGTCAGAGGTCAACTTTAAAGGTGAGGTCTCACCTGTCCCCAGGCATACATGTTGTTGTGGGTCTGGGAGGGGTTCACTTTGGAGAGCAGGAAGCGAGCCTGGAGATCATCATCAGACAATCACAACTCTGCAGATGCAATTACTTTACAACTGTGTACTTTTACAGTGAAACAAACCGATCGACGGAGCTTCACCTTCATCAGGTGTGGCGTGTTAAATGTATACGGATCTGCTCACAGTGATGTGCTGTACTACAGTACACTGTATAGTACAGTCATGTTGTGCGGTACTGTGTTGAGGATAAACAATACTGTATACAATATATGGTATAATGTATGTACTGATATAGAACAGTACACACTGAGGTACATATGGTGTATATGTTGATGTATAACTCTAATAAGTAGAAGTACATGTGTGACAGTACATCAGTACATATACTGTAAATCAAAATTATATAGTATACACATATACAGCCAGTGGTCAGTTTATTAGGAACACTGATCACTGTGGAGGCTGGGGGTTGTATTGTTGTTCTA